CAGCGGTGCAACAGTGCTAATTTCTCTGTAATTTTGCCAATATTGAACAAAGCATAAGCATTTAAATTGAGAGAATAGACTTCTGTTTAGATGTCAATTCATGTTTTCTCTCTTCCCTGGTCTTAGCAGTTGATGGCTCTTTTGTCCACACAATCCCTGTGACTGTTTTTACTGATGAAGTTTTTTGCCGTACTGTTGTTACTTGTGGAAATTTTTGCTTCAAGGAAGCTCAGCTGCCTGTTTTAAATCATACTGGGATTAAGTAGTTAAATCCCCTTTTCTACCCTCAGTGTGCAGCAGTTTATTAATGGAGTACAAGTTCTAAACAACTGAAAATAAGCCTGTTGGTAAACTGCAAGCAGAATTCACACATTCTAGTTGTTCACAGGGATTTAAGTCAGTCATGGGCTTTCGGAGAACAATCCAGTTTAAAACATCTGAATGATGAACCTGTTATGAAGGCCAGATCTGGATTTGATTCACAGCTCTTCTGTCTGTCTTGGGAAAACTCTCCATTAGTTCACTGATGATGCCATGATAGATCATTCTTTTTGCAGATTTCAGAAGTATGTCTGTAGATAGGCCTTAAAGAGAGCTTAGGTTTTCTTCTAGCAACTAGACTTTGTCTGTTAGCCAGCCAATGGCATTGGCCCTTGTGTTCTGTCTTAGCCAGGTATGTTCATTTTGCGGGCAATAAGCTGAGAAGTACAGAAGTTGTTTTCTGTTGGGTGGCACAGTCTGGTTTTGGTTCTTGGAGGTGGATGTGGAGCAATCAGAAAGTGACCTAAAGCACAAACAGAGGTGGCAAGCAAGAAAACCACAGCTTAATGAGAAAAGTGGGAGTTTTCAGAGTTTTGTGCCACTTGATCTGAAAGACTAAAATGTTTTTATATTTATGTCTTCTCCTATTGAATTTGATGTAAACTGTGATACAGATAGGACTAGGTTCTGTACAGCCACGTACTTTCCGAAGAAGTTTTTTTGAAGAAATTCTACAGTGTAATCTTTTGGTTAGTCTGGCATTAGTCCCCCTGCCTCCCATCCCTGCCTCAGTTAATAAACAGAACTTCTTAGCTGAAGGACTAAGTGATTCTTACTCTCTGTCAATTTCCCGTAGCTTAACAAGTTACTAAACATCAGTTGGCCAGAGAAAGAAAGGGGTGGTTGGACTTCCCATTTCCAAGAGAGTCTTTAGTTACAACAGGTCTGCAGACATGTAATAAGTAGAACATGAATCTTCTTTTTTATATGTATATAAGTGTGTGTATGTATTTATGAACATGCATATGTATAAGTACATATTTGTATGTATATGTGAGTATGATTTATTGGATTGTCCTCATGCTGGTATTATGCTAGGCAAATTCAACCTAAAGATTCATAATCCATACTGCTTTTCAAAATAGCATGTGAAAGTATCAATATTCAATGCTAAAAACTTCTTAGGGGGGGTACCTTCATTATATATTAGCTATATAGGATACTGAACAACTTTGGTTTAAAAAAAAAAAAAAAAGACTGCATGTTCTGAGTTCTAACACACTGAAAATTACTCAGAAACACAAGGTCCTGAAACTGAAAGGGGTTGTTACAGGATGCTGTCTCATTAATTTTCAGCTGTATCTTATTTTCTCTCAGATGTCTTCTCTAGTATCTGATCTATTTTATTTTATATCTGCTGTTATGTTTATATCAAATCGTTTTCTTCAAGTCACACTTTTTTGTGTCATCCATGAAGGAGATATTTACAGTTTTTGTAAAAATACAAAGGCCACATTCATGGGATACTTAGAGTGAGTTTTCTGTCACTGCCAAAGGTACTCTTCAGAGTTTTGTGTTCAGACAGGCGGCCGTTCTGTGCCTTGCCATCCTCAGAAAGAAATAATTTTTCTTATTCTTTACTTTAATGTATCTGAGAGAGAGAGGACCACCTGGTTAGTTTCTTTCCCCCATCGTCAGAGGCCTAAATTCTTACAATACACAAGAAATATACTTAGAATAATCTGTAAAACAGATTTATAATCCATCTGTTCAAAGTGTTCTTTTACAAGAAGTTGCAAGTAATTCTGAATACAATCAGCAAAGGAGATTTTAGTTGTGGAAAGTATGAATATGCAAGAACAAAAATGTTGGACAGAGGCCCTTCTTACAACAGCATGTAGTCATAAGACAAGGGCTAAAGGCTTTAAACTGAAAGAATGTAGGTTTAAGTTAGATATAAGTAATAAATTCTTCAAGGAGAGGATAGTGAGACACTGGAACAGGTTGCCCAGAGAAGTTGTGGGTGCTCCATCATTTGGGGTGTTCAAGGCCAGGTTGGACAAGGGCTTTGAGCCACCTGACGTGCTCCCTGCCCATGACAGGGGGCTTGGAACTAGATGGTCTTTAAGGTCCCTTCTAACCCAAAGCAGTCTATGATCCTGTTATGGTTCTATGACAATAGGAAAACAGTCATGTCTTGAATAATCAGTCAAATCTCCTCCATAATAGAGGAGATGGTTGAGATAAGTAACATTCACTGTCCTCCCCTCATCCATGAACTTAGTCACCTCATTGTAGAAGGATATAAGGTTGTTCAAGGAATATATAGTACCGCATTTCCAGAATATAAACTGATCTTGTTATTTTTAATGTCATTAGTATCATAATGTTAATTCTTTTATGTTGTTTCTGTCTGAAGAGAAAATTATAAAAGCCCCTCTATGAGCACTGTATGAATTACTGTAAAACTGTGAAAAGACTGCTCCTTGTAATAAATTTTTTAATGCTTTGGAAAGAAGAAAACACAGGGGAACACTTTCTGCAGACCAAACTCCCCATTGAAAACATTCTTTAGAATATTCTTCTGGTTTAGAGCTAAAGTACCTCAGAGCTTTCCCTTTAAAGATTCCTCTCCTCAGTTCTCAGGTTGAATTGCAAGAAATCTAATATCATAATGACAAATAAAGTCACATATTTTCCTTAGGACTGAAGAAGTTACAATGTCCTGCAAAAATGTCTTCAGAACATCCTAATATTGTTATTAAATGATGCACACTGCAGTGTTTTATGAAGAAAATGATTGGCAATCTGGTGTGATTAACACTTTTTCAGTTGTTTGCATTGCTGTTAACTTCATAACTAAAAAAAAAAGTTGATTTTAAATTCTTGTATAAAAAAATCTATAATTTTGTTCTAACCATTAACTTCATGCATAAGCTGGGCTTTTCCATGACCAAAGTGATACAAAATTGCAAAAAAAGGATCCTACAGAGCTGTAAAGTAGGCCTGCATTCATAATTCCCATACTGTTCCTCTGTACCTGGTCCCTTTTTGTATATGTTTGTATGTCATGTTTCTTAAATGTTGCTTTTCATATCTATGTAATAGAATCTGGCTCAGCAGGAGAGAAATAGTTACCCACTATCATCACCGAAAGGTTTTACCCAATTTTAGTCATTTTTATATTGCTGTTCTGCTGCTTTCTTATTAATTTCAGCAGTTTCTTATTACACGTATTTCTGTGTCACTGTGTCATCATTCCAATATTGCCAGTTGTTACCAAGCGTTGAATGAAAATATGCAAAGCCTCATTTACTTTGGGATGATTGTGAACGGCACTTCACAGGTCATTACTTCAGTGGTGTTAATAGTGCCATAACCACAGGTAGAAATAGGGTGCAATTGTTTCATTACTGGACACCACAAATGAGGGGCTCCCCCATTCTGGTTACCCAAAGTACTGCTGGGCAGTCACTTCACAGTATTACGTGTACCTGTTCCCAGCATGTGGTTCAGTACACCCTCTGTTTCTTCAGCCCCATTTAATACTCCCACGGTGCCTGTGCTTGTGGGTAGGGCATAAAACAGTGTCTTAGGAGTGAAAGTCTGTGCTGCACTTTAAGCTGCAAACAATCCCCTGCATTTCTCCGTTGCTGATGGCACCATTCACCCGCACTTATATAAGCAATACCAAAGCTCTGGCATAGGCAGGCAGCCACATACATCCTCTGCTGTTTTCATTTATGGGGCCTTCTTCTCATCACAACTACTTAAATAAGTGCTTGTAATAAAAGCAGCAGTTAGTTTTTCATCGATCATAGGGTTTCCAGTGGAGGTGAAGATTGTGGAAGGTGAAGGGCTTTGGCACAGGAGGAAAGCCCAGAGATGCTTAGTAGTGATGCTGAGAGGTATTACTACAGCTCAAGAGTTGGGTGTTGTGCTGACTACAGCTGAGAGTCTTTTTCTGTGCAGGACCAAACCTGAAAGTAACAAAGATACTCAAATTAGCTGCAGATGATTAGAACTTCACCCAGAGCTACATCCAGGCATTTTGGTTGTATGCTGTGAACAAGATTCTGTGTGCCCCTTTCACTGATAAATAGTGGACTTCAGTCTCCATTGCTGTTTAATGCCTTTTTTTTGGGTACTCACTTAAACTCACTTAGAAACAATGTTATCCACTTGCCAGATGGTTATTTTAACTAGGAACCAGGCTATCATGTGTGTCTCCAAAAGGCTGGTTTTCATAGCTTATACATGGTTTAGAACACTTCAACTCGGTGGAAAATAAACTGGTTTTTAAAGTGGTAAAACACTGCTCTTCATAAAAGGGCAGTCTCACTAGACTTTGTTCAGTTATTGCTGTACACCATCTAAAGTCGGATTATGGTTAGGTTAAGGGGATTTTCTGATGACAATTCCTCTGCATGGGAGAGATAATTTGTATCATCCTCAGGTGGAGTAAATTGACTGTAGTTCAGTCAATGCAGCTGTAAAGCTTTAACTAAAGAGTTGGATCCAAGTCTTCCCTGTAGTTCTCTGTAAGTGATTATGAAATTTCAATTATGTATGGGATTCTTGAAGTGAAACTAGGGTTTAGATTGTGAGACTAAAGGACAAGACCCTGCTGGTCATAATATTATTAGAAGCCTAGGAGTAAATATGAAGAGGAAAAGGTTGTTTTGGGGTAAGATACTGTCTTAATTCAGTATTGTTTTTTTCAATCCTTATTTTATCAGGGTTGTCAGGGGATTTCTTGCGTTCTGGAAGATACTCTGCTCATACTATCAATGGTGCCTGGTCACCCTGGTCTCCGTGGTCTCAGTGCAGTCGTGACTGCAGTAGAGGTATACGGAATCGCAAACGGGTCTGCAGCAATCCTGAGCCTAAGTATGGAGGACTTCCTTGCCTCGGCCCATCTCTAGAGTACCAGGAATGCAACATTTTACCTTGTCCAGGTAAGAGTCAAATGAAATGAGAGAAGTATGTGAAAATAAAATAACTCATCTTCAAGGCTATATCTTGCAGGAGTTGGTTTGGGTGTGGGTTTTTTTTTTTTTTTGGTTGGTAATTTTCAGGTTTGTTTTGTTTTTTGAATAAACTAAAGCTCAAATTTACCTTTATAATATAAGTGGATTTGGATAAGATTCCCATGTGAAGTCAATCAGTTTATCATCGACAGTATTAACAACTATGTCTTTTTTTCACTTGTGAGACTGACTATAAAAATACAGTTTTAATAAATAAACTTTTCAGAGAAAAAAGACATCAGAAATCTGGCAAGACATGAGAAGTCTGGCTTAGTCTCTATTTAAACTCAAACTATCATTTTCATCACAGTGGTTGCTGGCATTAAATCTGTGCTAACTTTTGAGTGTAGAGCCTCCAGCAAATAAGGTTCAGGACTGATCACCAAACTGGAGGGTAACTCAAGTAGGACATAAAGATTGTTCTTGCAATCTTGAACTTCCATTTCACTTAAAGTTGTTTTATGATTCTATAAAAAGGATTACAAGCAGAATATATGTTTTCAAGAAACTACTTTGGGTTATAAATCATTGTTGTAACTTAGACATTTGGGGGAAAAAATTCTTGGTTTCAGTCACCTCTCACCCTTCATAAAACAGACATCCAAATTCAAAGGCTTTTGAGCTTTGCAGAGGGTTTATGGAAAAAGAAAGGGAAAGGATATAAGAGAACACATGAAGAAAAGAAAGTGCAGTTGGAATAGGAGTAAAGAATTCAAGGTAAGAAACAATAGAGAGGAAGAAGGATAATGACAGTAGCAACAAGTAAATTTATAAGTAATCCTTAATTCATCTTTAATTGTATTAATTATGTATAGCAGCACTGTGTATTTTGTTATTGAAGACTTGGAGTATTTGGCATTTATTCAAGTGTGGACCTGAAAGATGACTATGGCAATATACATATTACATATGTATATGTATATTACTATGTATATGTAATATAGTAATATGTATATTACTAGAGTAAAGCATACTTGTATGTGTTTATCTATGTCTATATATATCTATATGGTTACAAGTTAAAATTGTGTTCCCTGAATCATGGGTATATTTTGGTTTTTAATATGAGTATTCAGGAGGATACAGGTTTTTGAAAACATGCTTCCATCTTGAATTGAACCTAAGTAATATGTTTTGGCAGACATCCCACAAACTCAGCAGCTCTGTGAGCATTCTGGCTGTTCAGTGAGAGTCATCTTCTCTGCAGTTTTATAGCTAATGGGAACAGTAGGATTGCTTGGCAACTTGAACTCCTCAGGCAGCCCCCTGAGGCATTCAAGCCTCCAGCTCTCTCGCTCCTGTGGCAGATCCAAAGGGAATTTCTGTTGGGGATCTCTGTTTCCATCTGAGTGAACACCCATGGAGCCATTGAGGTGCTAAAAGAGGTACTTGGGCACTAGAACCAGAACTTTCTGGTGATTTTTTTTTTTTCTGAATCCAAGGAAGAGGAAAGTAACTTCAGATGCTCACTGTGTAGCTTCTCTCTCTAGCAGTCTAAGCATCTGAGGAGATCAAGATTGTGTCCTTTCTTTGTTAGAGGCATGGTCAGTGAAGAGTGGCCAAGTTTTCTACACCAAGCGGTGTGAGGGAGGTGGAAGGGAAACAGCAGAGAACTAACAGTTGGCAGAGAATGATAAAATTGTGGCCCAAATCTTCTCCATATTTGCACAGCCCCAGTGTGTGCTCTAATTTATTAGTTTCCCAGCTGCAATCATAATGCCTTGCTTTTCTTGAAGAATATATTTATAAACAGTTCTGTTTCATGGGGGTGCACTGTTCATCTGTGGAAAATTTTGAAGGTTTAGGAATGCATTAGGTCACAGATTGAGGAGGAGATCGTTGTGCTAACATGTGCAGCCTCCTCAGGGATGCATGCAGGAGGTGAAGCAAACTATAACGTGGCACCTCCTCATTGTTTCCTTCTTCCCTTGCAAAGGGAATCCCTCCAGGAGACACTGCCTGCGGCTTCCTTTGAGGCAGGTGAGTGGTGTGGTAATAGCTAACAGCTCTGCTCACATGCCTTAAGATATCTGATTGTGTTACCATACTGTAGTGACTGAAGTACAGTCATTAAATGGGCCCAGATTACCTATAAAATGGGGCCAGATTTGTTGTTCATCCCTTGCTATTGATTATTGAATTAAATGCTGTCTTGAATTTTTGTTGCATTTTCTCAAAGTTAAAATAAGTTAAAGGTTTTCAGAAGTGTTATTTTTAATTAGCTCTGCAGCTAGAACACATAATATTTTGAAGGAAATTATGACAACCAGGAAAACACATAGTTATGCAGACAGAAATTTGATGTAGAGGCCTTTGCTGGTATGAGATAGCCAATACCTGAAACTGGAATAAATGAAGTTGTAAGGCAGCACTTGAAATTGTGCTTTATATAAAAATTATTCCCTCTTCTGCTGTTCCGATTTTGAAAATATTTTTGAAGATCAGTTGGTATAAACTGTGGTGGCCCTTTCTGAAGCAAGAAAGGGTGTCCTGATATATCTAATAACTTTAATCAGAGACAAGATTCATTTTTGGTTTTGGTGCAGACAAATTTGAATAAAGATGTAGAGCTTGAATGAAGTATTTAGATGTGTGATAGCCTGCAAGGAATCACAAAGTTCCCCAGCAATGAAACTACTGTTTGCCAGTAATTAAGAAGAAATGTAAGGGGCTAAATCAGATCTCAGATAAATCTGAAGGGAAAACATTGTAAGCAGTAGATGTAATTGATTTTTTTTTTTTTCTCTAAGACATGGGAGAGTAAAAAATGATTGCAGAATAAGGCTTAACCATAAATTAGACCTGATTATAAATTTGTAAAAAGGGAATAAATTTTTATTAGAGAAGCATACTGGTGAAATTGAATTCTCTCAATTTTTAATGAAAGTCACAGAAAGTTAAATTGGTGGGTAAACATGAACATCTATTAGGTTGACATTCATGAAACCTCATCAAAAAAGGGGAGACATAAACAATACATGGGTGAAGAGCCTTTGTTCCTGGCCCATGTGTACAAACCTGGCAGTAGGAGCATAGAGGAGAGCAGACAGAATGAGAAACCATGTTTGGATCAATTTTCAGCCTTCTTGCTAACCGCTGTGCCAGGGACTGGACTTCATTTCCTGGATACTTATATTTAGGACACCCTCATAAAGTTATTCTTACCCTAGCTGTTTAAGTGAGTTTCTAAAATATCCCTGCTAGGCTTTGATCACACAGCCCTTGCAGATGTCATGAGAAAGGTTGGTGTAGGTGTGGATCTCATTGTGGTGTTAACTATACCCTCCTCACATGGGCTGGGCTGTAGATACGGTTGCAGGGACTGAGTAGGAGTAAACATGCCAGGCCCTTCTTGCCAGTGTGAGCATCAAGGAGAAAAACAGGGACTCTGCATAGTTCCTTCTTGCCCATGTAGATAAGTGAAGTGCAGACAGAAAGACTGAGGAATATGAGGACTTGTTCTGATCTCGACCCAAAAGGAATGGCCATAGTACTAGAATTAAAAATGCAAGAAAGAATAAATTGACGCTTCCTAAGATTTACCTGCGCTCCCCCAGGGTAACGACAACTTCACCTGCTCCCTGCTGGCACAGAACCATTTAGTTACAGGCCAGTCCAGTCATTAACCTTTCACCAATACTGTGGTTATAAGGAGGGGTGAGATGGCAGCCATAAAGAAGTCTTCCTGCTGGTGTAGGCTTAGGTTCTGCTTTGCTCCCTGCTCTGCTTATTGCAGACGGGATCAACCCCTTATGATGTGAACTGCTGAGAAAGATAAGTGGTAGAGAAATATGCTGAGCAGTGCTTAAGCCATGCTGAAAGTCAATAGGACTTTATGCGTCTGAATCAATTAATCTGGGCTCAGTGTCATCCTGGAAGATACTAAGTGCTCTGAAGTACTGACACAATTAAAAAACCTATGGAGCAATCACCGAGTATACAAGGGTCTCTTGTGTGGTTCGGTGTCTTGCAGCATCATTTTAAATATACTTATTAATATATTAGCAGCCAGTAATTTCTGGTTAAATGTCCTGCAGGATCCCAGAGCTTTAAAAAAAAATACTGAAGCCATCTAGAACTTGCCTTCAGCAGCTACTGTTAAATCTTTCTTGAGCCTGCAGGGGAGAGAGAAACAGCGACTTTTTTTCCCACAGCTTGTAGCAAAGTAAATGGTCCACTGACGTGTGGATTGATAGCAGTCACTGGGCAGATTACTTTTCGTCCATAGTATTTGAAGGTTGAATATATAATAGTAAATTGAAGAGTGCTAGAAAATTGCCAGCAATTATTCCCAGGCCCGGGAATATGATTTGTCAGTATTGTACAAGGAATGATCCCTCATACAATTTTGACTTCAACTAACTAGCACTCTCCCAGTAATCTGCAGAAATAGTTTGGGAGTGTAGGATAAGGACTGTTTCCAGTAGTGAGTGTCCATGTGGCCAAATTTCTTTGAGGGGCAGGAGAATTTGCACTATTGTCTTGCACTAACAAATTATGCTTTGGCTGTGTGCCTCAGCTCTTTTTTTAAGTCTCGGTGATGTGGTGAATAGAGTTGAGCTGGCAAGAACTGAACAGCCTCAGTAGCTGTGGAAAGGCTCTGTGGATACTCACTAACATTTCTGGTTTGAGTTACTAATACGTGGTCAATATGAAAAGAAAGGAATCTGTAATCAAAGATTAGGGTTTTGTTATCCTTGGGGGCTTGCAAGATATTTACATTATGAAGAGAAATAGATGATGAAGAGAAGCATTGTTTGAACTGTAAATTCTGCACATTTACAAAAATGGCAGGAATTTACTAACTAAAATACTTGTTTGCCTGAAAATACTAATAACCAAATGTCAGGAATTGTGTCCTAGTTCACAATATTACACAACTCTTCAGTTATTACTGTAGGAAAAGACAATTTAGGTTGGAAATTCTG